TCCTTATAATCCTTTTCCTTTCTTCCTTGCTTCTTTTGCCTTCTGATATTCCCCTTTTTTAACCTTTAATCTTTAATAGCCGGAGTAATATCTTTTTGTCGATTACGAGCACCATTCGGTAAAGGAGCTCAAAAGCACACTCGAGAAACGCAAACGGAAGGTGCATTTGACTTTATTATGCGTTTTTTGCAGCTATGCAATGCAAAAACGCATATTGTCGAGAGGTTGTCTGTGTGTGTATGTATGTATGTATGTATGTATGTATGTATATGTGTGTGTGCGTCTGTAACGAGTTTTCATCTCGAGATCCACAAAAGCTACAAGGCTGAAAATTTGGTGACTTAATCTATACATAAGTGCGGGCTCGTATACTCAAAATGCACGCTCAGGCCCGCGTGGTTCTCACGTAGGGGCACGTGAAAATTTTTTTGGTGAGAAAGCGTTTTCGGGAACGGCCCATGCTAGGAGGCTGGAACTTCACAGAGTTGTTCTTTAGCCGTGTCTAATCCAAAGATTTCAAATTCAGTCTTCACGTACCCTCAGGACTCACGTACGCACACGTCAAAGTTTAAACTGGCATCGTGCCAACTCCAAATTTAAGCGATCAGTAAACTGCAAAGAACTGCAATTTTGCAGCGTTATTTGATGCCCACTGTTGTGCCCGTGGAAGTTAGTTACTAGTCAGCCCTTCTGCATCTCACGTACGAACACGTGTACACGCGTGAAATTTGACGTAAACCCGCAACCAGAGCAGCTGGTGTGCTGAAACTTTTTGAGCGCTACCCAGGACCGTGTTTGACCAATTACAGACATAGAAAGCACTCACGTTGCACTCGCGTACAAACACGTGAAATTTGACGTAACTCTGCAACAAGGGCAGCTGGAGTGCTGAGACTTTCTGAGCGTTACCCATGGCCGCGTTTGATTAACCTCAAGCGAAGAAAGCATTCACTTTACCATTCACGTACGAACACGTGAAATTTTGACGTAACTCTGCAGCCGGAGAAGCTGGAGTGCTGAAAGTTTCTGAGCGCTACCCAGGGCCGTGTTTGATCAACCGCGGGCGAAGAAAGCACTCACGTTGTTACTCACGTACGGAGACGTGAAATTTGACGTAACTCCGCAACAAGAGCAGCTGGAGTGCTGAAACTTTCTAAACGTTACCCAGGGTCGTGTTTGAGTGACCCCAAGCGAAGAAAGCATTCACTTTACCATTCACTTACGAACACGTGAATTTCACGTAACTCTGCAGCCGGAGCAGCTTGAGTGCTGAAACTTTTTGAGCACTACCTAGGGCCATCTGTAAGCCCAAGCGAAGAAAACACTCACGTTGCTACTCACGTACGAACACGTAGAATTTGGCGTAGCTCCGCAACCGAAACATCCAGAGCGCTGAATTTTTTGGGGATGGATTGGGAGTCGTTGTAAAAATT